AATAGCCCAATTGACTTCAGGATCTAGCCCATTGTGAATATTTATATAGTTCTATAAATATGCATAGTCCTTTGTAGACAAATAAAAGATAATGTACTTGTCTCAAAGATATCCCAATGAGGGCCTGATCCAAAGCCCACTGAAGTCAATAGGAGTCTTTCTATTGGCTCCAATGGGCTTTAGAGCAGACCCTAAGAGTCCAGCCCGCTTAATATTGGATGTACAGTTAACTATAGGGTAGTAGTCTCCCTTGGAATCAATGGGATTTCTCATGCTAATGAACACTGCACTCAGTAGTATGTGCAGGATAAGGCCCAATACAATATGTTGAGAGATGTTAATAAATATTGGGGGCAGGAGGAGACATGATGTTCTGGTTGGTAATATACATCTTTGCGAGTTCAGTAATATTTTATGATACTGTTGCTATGTGGGAAGAAATGGGTTTATAGACCTCTTTGAGGGAGTGTTTTAAACAGGGGCTAGAGGCAATGGAAAAAGACAGAAATATGTGAGAGGAGAAGAAAACAAAGAGATTGTTCTAGCAGGTCCATTTTCAGTAGGGAAGAGCCCATATCCTTGGCCACTGTAAGGCAGTTTGAACATTTTCTATCTAAATTGTTTTTCAACAGAAAACTGGGTTTTTGACAAAACGTAGTTTTTCATGAAGTGTCTGCTTGCTGTGGAAATTTTTGAGTTTACATCCAAAAAAAAAATGAAAACCAAAACACTTTGATTTAGATATTCTGCTGCAGTGCCTCATAGGAGCTGTAGTTTGGTTGTCTCACATCCCCATTCTCCTCTCTGGGTCAGGCTCCCTGGCTAGACTACATGTCTCATGATGCACCATAGCCAGGAACTCACATGCTGCACCATCTTCCTTCTACAAGAGGGTAAACTCTGGTGCACTATGGGAGATGTAGAACAACCAGGAAACCTGGTCTGTAGAAGAGAATGGGAGCATGAGGCAACTGAACTACAACTCCTATCAGGCACTGTGTCAGCATTTCTGAATTGAAACATTTGGGGCAGGAGGTTAGTCAAAATATTTTTGTTTTCAAGTTTTTGCTGGAAAACTGACATTTTCCATAGAAATATTAGACAAAGTATGATTTTATTTTTATTTTTTAATTTTATTTATTTATTTGTATGCATTTTCATGAAAACTTTCTGCATGGAAAAAAATCCATTTTCTGACCCGCTCCAGTTGTAAGATTAGTCAGTGTCTATCTCATGCTGTGATATGATTAGCTCTTAGATGGTAAGCTGATTTAGACTATGTAAGTACTTAGATCTCCCAAGTAAAACCCAGGGGCTGGTGATTCAGTGAGTAGCACTCGTATCCCCAAGTTAGAACAAACACTTCCATATGGGATTGTAGAGGAGGGTGACGATGAGTAAGGCTGCGAGTCTGTCACGGAGGTCACGGATTCTGTGACTTTCTGGGCCCCCGGGGACTTCTGCAGCTGGCAGGTGTGACTAACCCCAGGGCTGCCTGAGCTTGGGCGGCCCCGGGGCCAGCTGCACCCCCCTCCCACAGCAGTGGTGGTCCTGACCGTCCCCCTCACCAGCTGTGGTGGGAGTCCCGGGCCACCACCCACCAGCAGCAGCGGGGCAGTCCCACGCTGACGGGGCTGGTCCCCGCCAGCACCAAGCTCAC